AGACTCCATCTCAAAAAAAAAAAAAAAAAAAAAAAAAAGAGAGAGAAAGAAAAAAGTGTTCTCACATTTTCTTGGGGCCAGTGCTCGGTGAATTTTTTGCTCATTCAAATTTTGTCTTTGTCCAGGTTGGTTTCTTCAAACGGAACCTGAAGGAGAAGATGGAGGCTGGCGGAGGTGTCCCAAATGGAATCCCTGCAGAAGACTCCGGGCAGCCGGCGTCTGGGGAAGAGGCTGGGGATCCGGGCTGCCTGAAACCCCTCCACGAGGAGGACTCTGAGAGTGGCGGTGGCAAGGACTGAGTCCAGGCCTGTGATGTGCAGAGGGTCCAGAACTGAACTCAGGACGCCCAGGGCCACTCTGCCTCCGCCTGCATTCCGCTGTGTGCCCTCGGGCGAGTCACTGCCCCTCCTTGGCCCTCCATTTCCCTATCTTGAACATGGAGCTCATGCCTGCCTGTCTCCTTTGCAGGCTCATAGGGAGGACCTGCTGAGGGACCAGCCAGGAGGGCTGCAAAAGTGAGGGTTTGTCATGACCAGATGGTCCACCAGCCTTTCTTGGTTTCCTTCCTTGGAAGAGAATGTCTGATCTAAATGTGGAGAAACTGTAGTCTCAGGACCTAGGGATGTTCTGGCCCTCACACCTTCCCTGAGATGTCCACAGATGCCTCCCCCCACCGCAGAACCTGTCCCTGCCCACTCCCCTGCACTGGAGTCCAGTCTCTTCTGCTGGCAGAGAGCAAATGTGACCTGTCTCACTACATGACTGCGGCACATGCCTTGCTCTTGGCCAAAGACCAAATTCCTTGGCATGCCTTTCAGCACCCTGCAAAATGAGACCTTGGTGGCCTTCCCCAACCTATTCTAGAGCCATGCTGCCTCCTTGTCAAAGCTCCAGTGACACCAACCTTTCTCCCAGGCCAGGCTCCTTCCTGTCTTCCTGCATTCACCCAGACGGCTCCCTCTGTCTGAACCTTCCACCTGGCCACCCCTCCTTCCTCGGCTGGCAGATCCTAGCTCACATGTCAGACTCGGTTGGGTCCCCACGTCTTTCACACTTCCTCCAGCCTGCACTACTCCTTCAAAGCATACGTCATGTTTCTTCATCCAGCAGCCTGGATGTTTTTCCCTGTTTAATGATTGACATACTTAGCAGCTATCTTTCAGTGAACTCTGAGGGTAAAGGTCATATTTGTCTTGTTCACCTTGGGATGCCTCGTGATATGTCAGGGCGTGGGACACCTAGTAGGTGCTTGACACAATTTCATTGAATTAATGACAAAGCCTGTGGGAAGATACAGAAAAAGAGGGGATGGACTGGGCGCGGTGGTTCATGCCTGTAATCCCAGCACTTTGGGAGGCCAAGGAGGGTGGATCACCTGAAGTCAGGTAAAGACCAGCCCTGGCAAAATCCCGTTTCTACTAAAAATACAAAAGCCAGGCGTGGTGGCACACGCCTGTAGTTCCAGCTACTCAAGAGGCTGAGGTAGGAGAATCGCTTGAACCCGGGAGGTGAAGGTTGTGGTGAGCCAAGATTGTGCCATTATACTCCAGCCTGGGCAGCAACAGAGCGAGACTCCGTCTGGAGGAAAAAATAAAAAGAGGGAATGGGCCTGTGACATCCCCATCCTTGGAGGCCGTCTTCCGAGGCTCTGCCCCTGCCCTGGCTCCACACCCTCTCCCAGGACCCATCACACCTGTGCAATGGCTCCCACAGAAAGACTGAGCTCAAAGTGGGAACCACGTCTGCTCACTTGGAGCCCCAGTGCCAAGCACTGTGCCTGCGTGTATTTATCCAATAAATGTGAAATTCTGTCCAGTTTTGCGGTGTTTTTGTGCTGGTGCAATATTGCAGCCCTACTCAATTAAGTGAACATTTCTGGCTGTGTTCTATGGCTCACAACTGTATTCCCAGCACTTTGGGAACCCAAGGCGGGAGGATCCTTCGAGGCCAGGAGTTTGAGACCAACCTGGGCAACATGGCAAAACGTTGTCTCTATAAAAAATTAAAATATAAAAACTTATTTGAGCCTGATTGCACGTACCTGTAGTCCCAGCTACTCAGGAGGCTGAGACAGAAGGATCACATGAGCACAGGAGGTCAAGGCTGCAGTGAGCAATGGTCACATCACTGCAATCCAGCCTGGGCCACAGAGCAAGATACTGCCTCCAAAAAAAAAAAAAAAAAAAAAGCCAGACGCAGTGGCTCACATCTGTAATCCCAGCACTCTGGGAGGCTGAGGTGAGCGGATCACATGAGGTCAGGAGTTCAAGACCAGCCTGGCCAACATGGTGAAAACCCCATCTCTACTAAAAATACAAAAAAATTTAGCCAGGCGTGGTGGCGGGCACCTGTAATCCCAGCTACTCAGGAGGCTGAGGCAGGAGAATCACTTGAACCCAGGAGGTGGAGATTGCGGTGAGTCGAGACCACACCATCGCACTCCAGCCTGGGTGACAGAGTAAGACTCCATCTCAAAAAAAATAAAGAAAAAAATAGCACTTCCAACCAGGCGCGGTGGCGCGCTGCAACACAGCCAGACCTGTTTTCTAGCAGCAGCAGCAGCAACGCACTACCCAGATAAGGCCCCTGGCTACTACTGGTGTCTCCCACTTCCCAGGGCGCTGTCCACGCACATGTTTTAAGGACAAGTCTCGTTTACCACATAAAGGTTTTTATTGAACTCAAACTCAGGGGCTCCAAAGCCTGAGGAAAAACAGGGAGGCTGGGGTTTGCACGCAGAGGCCCAGGCCCCACCCCGAGGCCCCACTCCCCACCCCACCTACCCTTTTATCTGCTCCTGACTCAACAAGGGTTTCAGCAGCTACCAATCTAAGCTAACCCACTCTAATTAGGTAATCCCCCGCCCTCCCCCCTCCCTGCTCTAGCACGTTGCCAAGCCAGGCACCCACCGAGGAGCCACCACTGCGAGGCCAGCCCTCCGCTGACCTCTCTCCATTTCTCCCAGGGCCTCCCGCTGCCGGCCTGGCCTCCCTCCAACCCACTTCCCACAAGTCTCCAGGGCATGTCACTTCCTCCACCCTGGCCCTCTTCTTCCAGCATCCTCAGCTCCTCCATCCTGCTGCGGCTTCTCCACTATCCTCCCTAAAGGTTCTTCTAGTTCCCTGGCCCCTTATCTTCTGCCCAAACCTCCCACCCCTGCTGGGGCCCTGGGTCAGCGCCGGCCCGCCGCATGGGTCCGCTGGTGGCGGATGAGGTCGGAGCTCTGGGAGAAAGCCTTTCCGCAGTCATCGCACTTGTAGGGCCGCTCGCCGCTGTGCACCCGGTGATGCTGCAGCAGCGTGGAGGAGCGGCAGAAGCCCTTGCCGCACACAGCGCACCTGTAGGGCCGCTCGCCCGTGTGGGAGCGCTGGTGCTGGATGAGCGTGGAAGAGCGATTGAAGGTCTTGCCGCAGTCGGGGCAGCTATAGGTGCGGCCTGGCAGGTGGGTGCGGGCGTGGATGGCCAGCACCGAGCTCTGGCCAAAGCGCTTGCCGCACTCAGGGCACTTGAAGGGCTTCTCTCGGGCGTGGCTGCGGGCATGGGGGATAAGGGCCGACCGCTGGGAGAAGCTCTTGCCGCAGATGCCACAGCTGAAGGGCCTCTGACCGGTATGCACCCTCTGATGGCTGCGCAGGGACGAGTTCTGGCTATAGCACTTGCCGCACTCGGTGCAGCTGTAGGGCCTCTCGTGGCTGTGGGTGCGCTGGTGTCGCAGGAGGTAGGAGCTGTCGCCGAAGGCCTTGCCACAATGTGGGCACTTGTAGGGCTTCTGGCCAGAGTGAGTGCGCTGGTGGCGAAGCAGGTAAGAGCTGTCAGCGAAGGCCTTGCCGCAACGGGGACATTTGTAGGGTCGCTCGCCAGTGTGGGTGCGCTGGTGTTTGATGAGGTCAGAGCTCTGGGAAAAGGCCTTGCTGCAGACCTCACATTTGTAGGGCTTCTCACCGGTGTGAATGCGCTGGTGCTGGATCAGGGTGGAACCCCGCCCGAAGCTCTTCCCGCAGATGCCGCAGATGTTAGGCCGAGGGCCCTGCCCACCCCTGGCCCGGCCACCCCGCCGGCTTGGACCTCGAAGGGCTCCTGTGAGACCAAGGGGATTCTGAAGCATCTCAAACTGTGGTGTAGACAGCAGGGCCCCTGTGGGCATCTCAAAAGGTGGTCCTATGGGCAGGTCCCCTGTGGGCTGCTCCCCAAACCCCTGAGTGAAGGAGTCCAGGGGGTGAACTCCTACAGAGATATTCAAGGGACTCTTTTCCTCGGGGTTCAGAAGCATCTCTGCACCCTCCTGGAATTTGGAACTTTGAGCTTCAAATTCTGGGCTTTGGGTTTTGAGCTCAGGGTTCTGGGATTCATATCTAGAGCTCTCAGATTCATAGCTAGGGCTCCGGGGTTCGTAACCGGGGCTCCGGGGTTCATAGCCAGGGCTCCGGGGTTCATAGCCAGGGCTTTGGGGTTCATACCTAGGGCTCTGGGATTCAAACTCAGGGCTCTGAGAATCTGATTCAGGGCTTCTGGGTGCAAACTCAGGGCTTGGGGGCACAAGCCCAGGGCTTCGGGACTCAAATCCCGGGCTTTCAGGCTCAAATCTGGGGCTTTGGGGTTCAAACTCGGGGCTTTGTGGCTCAAACCCAGGGCTCTGGGGTTCAAGCCCAAATGGTATCTCTTCGACTTCATAGTCCCCAGTGCCTTCTTGCTGAGAAATTTCCTCTTCCTCATTCTCACTCATGTTGCCTGCAGGATCAGAGAATTACAGAAAATCCAGATCGTGTGAGACCTGGAAGGTCATTTGGTCTATTAGCAACCACACACCTCCCACCTCACAAGCAGGGTTGCTGGCCCCTAGACCAGTGCTGAAATTCCCACGCCCCCCTCAGCGGACCCAGGACACCCCAGTCCCCACCTGCCCCTACTCCGAGTCCCAGGTGTCCCAGCCCCAGGCCCTCGCTCCCTCCCTGGAGCCACAGCCCCTTCTCCTGCTCGCAGGTCCACTCCTCGGACGGGCGCTCCCTCCTCACCTCTGAGGGACCCTTCGGGGCTCCTCATTTCGTCAGAACTCTGCACATCCTGGGGCTCGAGGCCCCACGGCGACGCCTCCCGCTCCATCCCCGCGGGCTCCCCGTG